TCAAAATCATTTCTTCAAATCAAAATATAATAAAAAAAATTTGTATAACTTAAATATAAAGAATGTTAAATACAAATATTACGTAGAAATCCACATACTTAATTTTTGAGGGTTGGTGTTGAAATTTTGAGTTTGGCCACTCAAAATATCTTCACTAGAGCATCTTGTCCTCCGATACTCAGGGTCTCTTTGGTGCAACTTGTTGGAGTTTTTGTTTTTTTTTTTTTTTTTGTATTATTCATGAGTGATAAATTTAAATTTTCATTAAAGAAAAAATTTTAAAATTACTTTTTAGAGATAGAAAAAATTCAAGTTGCCTAATTTCCATGAAGGAGTCCAAGTCTTTGGCGAAGTTTCTTTTATCGACATTCGATAATGTGGAGAGAAAATATTTTCTTGAATTCTACATACTAAAGTCTTCAAATTTTGTTCAAGATCTCATTGTTCCTTTCTTTCACACTAACATAAAGCGCATAATTACCTTATAGATGAAGGTGGAAATATTTAAAAACATCTCATATTAAAGAGCGGTGTTATAGAGATAATTTTTTTATATAATTTTTTAATATAATTTTTAAATATTATTAAATGAGTAAATACATTCAATATTACATATTTCATATAAATTAAAAAAACTAATCATTTAAATGACATATCAAGTTATACAAAAAAATTATCTCAAAATCATTTCTTCAAATCAAAATATAATAACAAAATTAGTGTAACTTAAATATAAAGAGCGTTAAATACAAATATTATGTAGAAATCCACATATTTAATTTTTGAGGGGTTGGTGTTGAAATTTTGAGTTTGGCCACTCAAAATATCTTCACTATAGCATCTTGCCCTCCGGACACTCATGGTCTATTTGGTGCAATTTATTGGAGTTTTTGCTTTTTTTTTTGTATTATTCATGAGTGATAAATTTAAATTTTTATTAGAGAAAAAATTTAAAAGTTGCTCTTTAGAGATAGGAAAATTCAAATTGCTTAATTTCTAGAAAGGAGTCCAAGTCTTTGGCAATGTTTCTTTTATCGACATTCCATAATGTGGAGAGAAAAT